ATTATTACAAACAGGACAATGAAGTTCTCAAAAATTTAAGAGCTTGTCCAAAGTGTCTCTCTTTCTCTCTCTCTCTCTCTCTCTCTCTCTCACACTCACACACACACACACACACACACACACACACACATTACATAGTTGAATTGGGTCTTTAGCCCCAACGGCAAGACTTTTTATAATTATATCTACCACTTGCCCAATCCCTTGGGCAGTAAAGTGTTCTCTATTGAAGGGACTGTGGCCCTGACATCTGTGAATTTGTGGCCCACAGGGCCTTGTCCAAGGTCTACTTGTGCAGAGTGCCTCTGTTTTTCTAGATCGGTCAGTCTGCAAGCTTGAGGAAGCCTATTTCCTTCTCCCCTTTCCTGTTCCTCCCCTGCTCCCACCCACCCTCCAGGTAACCAGAGGACCGTGGTTTTGCAAAGCAGGGGGTTCAGTTTGGCCTTTGAACCTCCATCTAAGACAGGTGACAGGGACTGACAGCCCAGGTGTGCCAGATTGTGAAAAGCCCCAAGCCTCTGGTCAACCTGGAAAGTACACAAACAAAGAAAACCATCCTCRCCATCTAGGCCGGTGGTTCTTGGGRGGTTCACCACTTCTATTAGGAGAGGCTGGGTTCACCCATCCTCTCAGGGGAAATGGTGGTGACCTGAGAAGCATGGCCTTTCTTCTCCTCTTCTTTTTTTAAACCTTTCACCCATCTGTTCTTCACAATGAATCCTTCACATCTGTGCACTCTAAGGAGAACACTCTGGGAGAGGATGCTACTGACAGAGGGTATAAAGGCTTCTGGTACTTCATGATGCTGTGGGGCCCTGCCACTCCTCTTCAGGAAATAAATCATTCCTCGTTGGATATTAGGACTCCTCCTGGTGTCCAAAACTGTGCACATGCCCACATTATTTTAGAGGTGATAAGCATTACAGAGACCAAACCCCTTCTAGCCCTTCCTTTCCCTGTGGCTCATAAATAAATAAATGGAAATTAGAAGAAATGACAGTTGGGATGCCTGTGGGACAACAGGCTCATTGTCCCTGCTTGTCCAGCTGGGTTGCCCCTTTTTCATTCGACTCCGTAGCATCAGACAACAGATTGACTTACCTTGAAAAGTGTGGTGTCCACATTCACAAACCTTAACCACTGGCGGGGAAAAGTCCTGGGGTAGAGAACCCAGTATTCCTCCAGAGGTGGGCAGACTTGACTAAGTGACTTCCAGCCATGTCAATGGGAATGACAAGCCTAATCCTTCCCTTGCCTCTCACCCACCCTGCAAGAACAGCCTTCTTTGTCCCGTCACCTTTGAATAGACCTAGAATCAATTTCCCACCTTCACTGCAGATTCTTGCCCGTCAGACAATAGCCTCGGGGTGTCTTTGCCAGACGTTCTGGGTTGCAGGAGCAGAGGGCGGGAGGTGGTGTTAGTGTAGCTCTCAGGCTGAGGGAGAGCTATTTGAAGTGTGACAGGTAATGAGTGGCCTCCTCCTTTGAGGATGAAACTTAGCATTTGCCTTTGGAGAGAACAGATGAGTGGCTTCATGTTTCCTGAGGGTGAAGGAGCAAATGCACCGGGAGCATTTTCCTCGGTGGCAATTTAGCCTTTCATCAGATACCCTCAATTTAGGGAGTTCACTGCCTCCTCGCTACCCATTCCCAACCTCCTTTCCAAACACTGAGAGAGGACTGAACCCGGTGGGCCTGCCCAGGGTGCAGGGAGGGAATTTGAAAGAGGGGAGACGGGGCAGGAAGAAATCAAAATGAACCCCGAGGCAGATCCTCCCGCCCCGCCCCCTCTCATTATGCAGCCGGGGAGGAGTCAGGAAGGCATTCTGTTGATTTCTTGCCCAAGATAATCCCTGCTAAGGAATTAATGCGCAGAGCAGATGGTGCTGTCTCATTTCCAATGAAAAGAATCAAGGAAGATAGTCTGTGCAATTATTTTTAATGGCTTGTGTGGTGATCTTCTTAATTTGTGAGAAAATGTTTCATCTTTTGTGAAAACCCGGCCCGTTCACACAGCTCTTTGTGCTGGAGATTAAGGCATCTCAGAGCTCCTATCCTGTTAACATTGTCCTGAGGATTTTGTGAGATGGGTTGTTTCTACCAGGAGACGGCTTCCTATGACCTCTCATGTGTGTGTGTGGGCCCAGAGTGGTCAGGTACGGAGAGAGGATCAGCATTTCCCCACACACGGCTCTCACTTTGCCGTCTGGCTCAGAACCATCTCGTCCTGCTGTTTATTAGTCCCCTGTGAAGAGGTGGCCTTGTATGCTACAATGAAACACAAGTGCAGGCTTGGAACTTACGAGAGCCTGAAAGCCATAGAAGCTGTCGTCTTTGAGTGTGCCAGGATGTGTGGCCTGGAAACAGCCAGCTGGTTACGTTCATCAGACCCTAACATGTGCGCAGCACCGTGAAAGAAACAGAAGCGACTAGTATCTGGTGTTTACGACAGACCTGTCCAGACCTTTCCAAAAAGGTCTGTAGAGCACCCCCTTTCATGAATGTCACTGAGGATAGATGGCAGTCAGATGCCCAGGACCCTGGAAAGCCTGGCTGGGGACATGCTTTCTTCCCATTCTGGCCCCAGGTTGTCTGGATTCGTGGTCATACCGGGTTCTTTCCTCCCCGATCTYATTCAGGACCCCCAACCACCCTGTGAGGTGTTCATGATGCCCTCCATGACAGGTGCCCATAAGGCATGAGGCTTTGGCCTCACGGGGAACAAGGGAAAGCCCTGGGGTCTACAGCCGTGACTGAGTTGAGTACCTTGGGTCATCTCTATTCATTTTAGTAAGCAAAGATAAACCTGTGTCAGGTGGAAAATGAATAGGTGCCACATGGTGGGGCCTGATGCGGAGCCTACATAGGAGGGCGAGGCTAAAGAGAAGAAAATGCTCAGGTGCCTCTGGAATGGGCAGAGAGGACACTTCTGGCAAGAAATCCCTGGACTATTTGTAATAGAAGCTGCTGGGGGAGATGTGAGAAAAGATGGGGAGGCTTGGGGCCCAGAGCCAGTAGCAGTTCCGGAAAGCTGTTCAAGAAATGCCCCCCTGGGAAACCCCAAGACAGGGTGAGGAGCCTGGGGGGTGCTTTCACTGAATGGCCTTGCAGGCCAGGGGGAGGTGTTCCCAGGGAACGGAGACCCACCTTGACGTCCCCCACCTCCCGTAAGACACTGGTAACACGAATGCTTTCTCTTTGCAGAGCTGATGAGATTTGGTGACTGTGGGACTCCGATGAACACTGAGAAGCGTTTTCCATGTGAATTCTGTGGACGGGCATTTTCACAGGGCTCCGAGTGGGAGAGACACGTGCTGAGACACGGCATGTAAGTGGAGACAGGGTCGGAGGGAGGCCGGGCTCGTGCATTCCCTCCCTCCTTCCCTTCCTTCCTCCTTCCCTCCCTCCCTCCTTCCCTTCCTCCTTCCCTTCCTTCCTCCCTCCCTTCCTCCCTCCCTCCCTTTCTCCCTCCCACGATCTCCCAACACAATGTTGATCCCTCCTTGTCAACTTTCTAGGTCATGGGAGGAGAGGCAGTTGTGAGGAAGGGACCGGGTTTCTCCTTCACTGTTGGTTTTTTAAGTGTCTACCCAGGCCCAAGTCAGGGGAGGGAGAACCATCATTATGAACAACACACCTCTGGCCAGCATCCCTTTAGTGTGAATCGGGATGTAGACATCTGGCTTTCGTTCCTGCCTCTGTGACTGGCCATTCCCTGAGGGCCTCGAACTTGCCTTTGCCCTGCCTCGAGGTCAAAGCCAGCTTCTGCCTTCCTCCCAGGTCGTGGAGAGCACACCTGTCCCATATTTCTAAGATCCATAGTCTTAAAGTTGTCCCCTCTCCAAGGTACCTCTAGTTCACCAGAGAAGCTGAGATTTGGTCCTTTCCTGAGGGGGGGGAAAAAAAAAAAGCCCCAAAACATTGAGTTTGGCAACTTAACAGAATTTATCTAGCTTCCCAAGATGTCTGCGGGTTCCGACTTCAGGTTTTTGTTTTTTGGTTATTTCAGCTGTTTGTTACTGGGTCCCATTCAGTAAATCTTTTAGTACCTTTTTGTCTTAATAAGTATAGTCAATCTCCAAGTTTCTTGGTTCACCTGATAGATGTGAGCATGCTTGCTGTTTTACCACTTCTGACTTTGTAGAAGAGATAACCTAAAATGATTATGTTCATCTGGAAACAAAACATGGTGTAATTGAAACACAGTACAATAGTGGATATTAATGTAAGTTCAGATCTTAAAAAAGTAGTTGACCTCAGTATTACAGATAGCAAGGCCCTTCTTTGGCAATGTAGTTATATATATTGATAGCCCTATTCAAAGGAAACCCCAAAGGCTTTTTAGGATGGTGGAAATAGAGACATGAGGGTTTTTTTTAATATTTAATTAGGAAAAGCCTATATACTCATCTGTCTCTTCCATGTGTGTTTCCCCCACCCCCTGCCCCAGGGCATTGAATGACACCAAGCAAGTGAGCAGAGAAGACATCCTCCCGAAGGAGATAGTGGAGGACAGTGTCAAGATGCCCTCCATAGAGGAAAAGGAAGATGACGACGAGCCAGTTGGAATAGACTTTTCCCTAAAGAGTGAAACAGTAGCCATCTGTGTAGTAGCTGCCGACAAATCTCTCCTAGAGAATGCAGAGGCCAAAAACGAATAAGAGTTTGGTGAAATTCTTAATCAAACCTTACTTGAACCGTGATGAAAAAGTGGGAGGGCCGGCGTGGGCTTGAGAAGGGGGGGGGACAGACAAACGAGAAGACAGAACAAAGCTGCTTTTTAGGACTGAACAATCTATTTTCAAAGCACTGGTACCTGTGTGAGTGAGTATGTAAATTAAAGTTATTTAAATGGTTGGAATATGTGGCTCCTTTTCCATCACTCCATCTTTTTCTTCGAGATCTTCACCATGGAAGTTTTATTCATGGCGGATATGGAAGCACCTTCGTGGGCACGGTGCGCTCCATGGCGGTCTTGGACAGTGTGTGCAAACAAGCTCCGGAGACAGTACAAGACTTCTCATAGGGAACAACTTTTTGACGCACAACTTTCGGTGCGTTTTTCTAGTTTTAATACCTTAAGCTTTTTCAAGACCTAACTGCAGCCGCTTTGGGAAAAAAAAATAATAATAATAATAAAACAACAAAAAACAAAAACACAAAACAAAAAAAAACTGCTTTGCATAAAACAGTCACCTGTTTCCTAGTACCTCAAACTTAACCAAGGGAATTCTCTGCATTTGTCAGTACTACCTGTCGTCCTTGTGGTTAAATGTAGAGAGAACTGCTGGGCAAGATGGTGAATGGAGAAAAAAAAAAAAAAAGAGTTTTAAAGAAAGGAACACAAATTGTGCTTAAAATCCCCACGAGGGTTTTATTTCTTAAAATACTGTGATTTTTTTAATTATTTTAGTAAAAAACAAAACAAAAAAAAAGAAACAGACTTTAATTATTAGATAACTGTTTGTGAATTGTCATCCTTTATTCCAGGTAAGCTGTTTATTAGTGTTCGACTATAATTTAGCATTTGGTAGATCCATGTGAGCTGATTTTAAAGTGCTCAAGCCGTTTCGTTCGCCACGTTTATTTCCTATCAAGTTGAGTGTTACAAACACAGCACAATTCAGTTTTTTTCATATAAATTGTTTCTTTTTGTGTGTGTGTTGTTATTGTTGTTTTAATTGGGGGGCAAGGGAGATTTAGTTTTTTTGTGAATAGGAATGTGTTTATTTTAAACATGAAAATAACAAAGAAGTTAACTTTTTTTGTTGTTCGGTTTTTTTTGTTTGTTTGTTTGTTTTTTTTATTTAACTAAAGAACCAAACTTTCGGCACAGCTATGCAGCTCGTGGGCCAGAGAAGAGGTCCTCTTCACCCTTCTGTTGCTTGTCAAATTAACACATTATCCGTCTCACATCAATAATTTCTGTTAGGATCGGCTGGCTTTTGTGTGTGATTTTTTAAAAATCTGTGTTTTTGTGTCTTGGGGGGTTCTCATTTATTTGGGGGGGGGGGACGAGGGGATGTGCTGGAATCCCATCCCTTTGCCGAGAGTGGACAAGAAATGACATATATCCTACAAGGAGCCTGGAGAACTACTTTTTTTTTTTTTTTTTAAATCTAGCTGCCAGCTGCTGTTTCCCCATATTAGCGTCTTCTGGAGGGAGCAGCTTAGACTAAATCTAAGTCTACATTTATGATATGTTCTGATGGTGAACAAAAGGTTTCGTTCCAAAAAGTAGAGAAGAATTTTTCTTGAAGCCTAGGTTTGTAGAAGCCCATGTGTGTGTTAGCTTGGTTGTGCATGGATGCGTGCGTGCGAGCGAGCGTGTGTGTGTGTGTGTGTGTGTATGTGCGTGTACACACGTGTGTGTGTGTGAGTCTTGGTTTTCATGTTTTTGTTTTTGTTTTTGATTTTTTTTTAAACTTGGAAGGGTTGGGGGAGGGGGGGAGGGAAGAAAGGGAAGGGGGATTGCTGAGACGACAGTGTCCCACGCAGCTTCAAATGAAATCCATGGAACGATGTTGCATTTGTGGAATAAGTGCTTACTTGAAAAGCATGTTCTTCTTTTATTTTCTTGCTGTTAAAAAATTTTTATTTGTAGGACTTTAATTTAATTTTTTTTTTTTTAGGGATGGGGGCCATCATGTGGAAACCAGAAAATGGGGAAAGTGTGGACTCTCTAGACAAAGATTCATTTTGTGTCTATATTTGTTTTTAATTGGCCTCATTTCAAATGTATTAAACAGTTCCATACCTGGATTGGGTGTTTGTAATGATTACCAAAAAACAAAAACAAAAAAAAAAAGGAAGAAAAAGGAAAAAAAGAAAATAATTGTGACATGCTTTTATCACTACTTTATTTTTCAAATAACATGTAAATATTGTAATCCATTGGATTTTGTTTTGCTAACCTGTTAATAAAAATATGGGACCATTATCCTTTTAACAAGGCTAGAATGTCATTTTTTTTTCTTTTTCAAACATATACCTGATATTTTGTGGCCGCACATTTTGGATGCATTATTATAATTCTGTTGACTGTAATGACATRGAATTTACAACATTTTTTTTGTTGTTGTTGTTTAATTTATACAGAGGACATTTTTTTTCAGAGCTTGAGAGAAGAAAATAAATAGCAGAATGATAACCTATTGACTACAATAATCAGTGTTTCCCGATACTTGGTAAAAGATGAGGGAGATTCTGAGTCCTTGAAGCCAAGGGTTTAAAAACAAAAACAAAAAACAAAACAAAACAAAAAAAAMCACAAGTAGGTTATTCAAGTTGTTTGCAACATACATTTTGTAATGAAATGTGAGAAATTAATAAAGAATTTTTTTCACATGTGTTTATGTCATCTGTTGTAAATCATTTGTGGATGTGAATCCCTTCCTTCAGCTAGCAAGAGTAGAAATCATACAGCATTGCCTTTCAAAGCTTGTGCACGAGAGGTATTTCAACCTGCTGAATCTACACAAGTGTGAACAGCAGAGGTAAAATTAAAGTCAGGTGTGGGCTAGAATTCTAAAATGCTAGCATTTCCACATCAGGTATCCTCACAGAATGGGAGAATATTATGGAGGGAATGTTTTCCATCAAAATTGTGAGAGAGATGTATGAAGCTTCCAAGGAACCGCCAGTGCTAAGGCGAGTTTATAAGCATAGTCATTTTCAAGTAACTGCAAGTCACAGCCACTTGGAGGATTCATGTCATCACAGTGTTGTCACCCTTAACAGGAAAGCTTCAGTCACTCTCTGACTCTGCATCCTGCACCAAATTATTACCATTCACTTATTTYTTGAGCTACTGTGTTGTAAAGCAAAGAAAAAATGAGCAGTTATGAAACCTAGAAGAGCACATTAAAATCAACAGTGTCCGCTGTTGCACTCGGAGCCACCCAACACTCTGCCTCCACCAGTGTCCTAAGAATGGCTGGCAATGTGTGCAGAGTTCATTCTAAAAACTTGGTTCTCACCCTTCCTCATTCTTGGTGTCTCTTTCACTGGGGGAGAGCTAAAAGACAAGACTATAAAGGTGACCCCCAAAATTTGATAAGTCAGGGCCCAGAGGGAAAAATGATTCAGTGGCAAAGATGATGGGTGCAAATGGAAAAAAATGCATTCCGTGAGGCCCACGTGAGCCACAGATGTGGCTGAGCTTGTCAACCAGGCAAGGCAAGGAAAAAAAAAAGGATCAATTATTACAACTTATTATTAAATGCTCAAGAGAGAGCCTGTTCTAGGAATGCTAGCTGAAGTCTCACCTGTTTCCATAAAGGAGAGAAGGTGAGTCAGTTGCTGAGATCTTGGGGGGGTTCTACCCATCACTCAAATGCCTCAACTAGGAARCAGCACACCTCACCAGAGTTGGTCAGAGCTGACAAATAAAGGCCATCTCTCTATAGGAGAGAGAGGCAAAACAGGCTGTGGTTCTGAGACTTTTATGGGGGAAGTTCAGGAATCACAGCTGGGTGGGTCCTAATGCAGGTGGTTAAGGGTGGTATTGGTAAGAGGGAGTGGTGAGCCTTTCTCAGAAAGGCTCTTGAGCAGAAAAGGGAAACTTTTTCCTTAAAATGGCAGCTGTCACTTAAGATGGCCATCCAGATGCTACGCAAGGAACTTATACTTGGGAAACCACAAGATGCTGGTCTTATGCACTTTGTCAATACCTTTTAGCAAGTCTTTGGTGCTGGCTCCTGTATAACAACAAGCAGGGCAGACATATGTACGTGCGTGCGTCTTAACAAATAGGATGAGGATGGAGACGGAGAGAAGGGACCACCACAAGGCGCTGGGTCTTGCTGGATGCTTTGGTCCTTCTTGTGACACTTTGACTGCAATTCTGTGTTGACAGTGACAACCCTGGGGGAAGCAAGCTGTTGATGGTGAGTGTGGGTTTTCTGTCCACCTACGGGAACACTGGATTCAGGGAGGCATGTATGAAATCGGCCACTCACACACCGTCTTTAGTTCTRAGCTCAGCCAAAATTCCTGTAGGATAAGTTCTTCCCTTGTGGCTCTCCTTATTCACTATGATGTCACACTAYTATGTCACAGCTCTCAGAGGAATAAGCATAATACCTCTCTTTTCCTCTGCACAGATGAACCAAATGATGGAGTTTTAAGGGTCGGCCAAGCATTGGCCTTAAGAATTTATTTTTTTTAATGTATGTTTAAAATTATTAATGTGACAGTTTTAGAGGAAACATCAAAGTCCCTCTACTATCTCCCACATTCTAATCCAGGGATGTTTTCTACCCCTTTCATTCCTGAACACCTTTTGCAATGCCTGTAATCATGGTCAACAATTTCATAACATGCTCTTTTTCACTTCTTATTACAAATATTTTCCATGTTGCTATAGAGTCTTCACAACTAAAAAACTACACAGAGCTCCATAACACATTGGATAGAAATACATAAGTATAATTTATAACTCCAGAATGTTATTGAACATTCAGGTTCYTAAATTTTTTGCAATATTATAAATAATCATTCAGTCCAATCTTGCCTGTGTATTTCTCACCTACCCTGACTGTAGATCATTTCACTAAAATGAATCCTCAGAGGTRCAATTAACTTTCAAAAAGGCATTATCAATTTGTACAACACCCGCCACAGATGGAATAACTTAATCATGATCTTGGACTTACGAAAGGAAAGGAGAATGTGTAACATGGTCATGACTGAGGAGTCTAAAGTCAGACCACTTAGACTCAGATTTCCCCCACTGACCCACTTAGTGTGTGATCTCAGGCAAGTTATTTAAAGCCCTTTGTACCTTCACTTCTTTATTTGTGAAAATATTACAATATTCAACCTTGCATCTTGCTTTTGTTGGTATTTTTTTAATTTATACGTATTTCAGCACAGTCAAGTTATTCATATCTGAGAAGCCAGACTTGGAGATTCAGCTGTCCTTAAAACAATGTAGAGTCTTTAAAAGAGTCTGCTTAATCAGAGGGGAAGATGTCTTACCCAGTTTGATCTGGCCCAGGACCTGACCTTGAGCTATCATGCCCAAACTGATGGCAAGCACCAAAGATAAATTGTCAATGTGGACTCCACTTGGAGTTTACAGGAGCGATTTACAAAACAATAAAGTGATTTCGAAATATGGAGGAGGGAAGGGACTGGCTGCCTCAGGGATTGGCAACACAGTGGAGAAGCGGGTCCACTGAACAAGGTCTTAGTGACTGGTGTGGAGCCTCCGCCAACAAGAAAAAGGGACGTTAGAGATGAAACATGTCAAACTGGTATCTTAGGTGTGGCAGGTGGCATTGGGTGACCTGATTAAGGAATACCAAAGAAGGTTCATCGGGGAGTTCATGAGGGTCTTGAATGCTAAGCCAAATAGTTTCAGTATAAAGGCGTGAAGAAGCCTCTAAGTATTGTAAACTCAATGAGGGATTTTAAACAAGGGGTCTACACGCATCAGATTTCAGATTAACAAAGAATGTATTTGTGAGGTTGTTGGTCGCCCTGCCCAATATTGATCATTTCCATTTTTCTTATGAACCCAGTGGAAGCCTAATTTTAATTGGAATGGTAACGTACCCAGTTTTTCAAAACACATTTCTTAACTGCCCTTGCAACTAGAAGTACCATGAGTCACAGTTCTGGCCAATGAAATGCAAGTGGAAGTCTATTGAAATCTCTGAGATTTTTTTTCTTTCCAGTTTAGATTCCAGCTCTTCCTTCATGTTTCTTTCTTCTCGCCTCCACCACCCATYTCTCTCTCCCCCCACCCCTCTGGAATTTCTTCTGGAATATTGAGCAGCCATCTTGCAACTACAGATCAAGAAGAACRGGGAATTGAGAGGCTTTCACACATACCATTAGGTGGATCAGCAAATTGAAGGAGGCCAGGTCTCTAAGTGCATTGTGGGTGAGATMTGGGAGCCTGGATTCACCAGCCCTGAACTTCTTGTCCTGAGCTGGGGATGGGAGAGGGAAAGGTATTTGCTTARGCCTCTGCTGTTTGGGTTTTCCTGTTATTTGCAATGTAAAGCAGTTTGTAACTGCTGCAAAGCTGTCTCCAGCTGGAGTAAGGTCGTGCTCACTGAGAGAGCCTCCTAGGTGAAAAGATCCCACAAAGGTAAGAAGAAGATTCTGCTCTGTATTGGCTGAGCTCAAGCTGGTAATTTCTTGCTGCCTTTGGAAGGACTTCAACCCCAGCTGTCACATTATGTCAGAGGAGCTAWATGATAAGGCCCACTTACAGGCCGAAAATAAAAGGAGCGGCAGTGTTCTTTCTCACCTCCCGCTCTCCTCTATCAACCTCAAGTGCAGAAGAGATAGGAAATRAGAGAGAAAGTGTTAGTGAGAAGGTCCCCCAATCTCATGCCCACGGTGGCGTAGGGAACAGCGCTCCATCTCAGGGGCCACGAGGTGCCTCCAAGTATCAAGCTCATTATCTCCTGAAAATGTCAGTCGCTTCCCTTTCTCCCTCTTTCTGCTTCCTGGTCATGCATGAACTGAGCACCTACACTCTGCTATGGCTTTTCCGCCAGGATGTTCTTCCTCTTCTTGGACTCAGAGCAATGGARCCAGCTGACCATAAACTGAACTTCTGGAACCATGAGCCAAAATAAAYTTCTTCTGCTCTAAGTTGTTCTTGTCAGGTGTTTTAGTCACAGTAATTAAAACTGACTAGCACCCTTGGCATAAGGATTCATCACTCCAATTTCTCCCTTTGACTTGAAACCATCACCTTCTCTATCTTCCTTTTCCCCTTCTCTTCTTCTCTAAAGATACCAGTTATTGGATTTAGGAACCACCCTAATCCATGAGGATCTCATCTCATGATCCTTAATCACATTTGCAAAGAGTCTTTCAGAATAAGTTCATATTCACAGATTCCAGGTGGACATATCTCTGGGGTARGGGAATCACACTTCAACCCACTATAACCCTAATTAACATCTGAAGTCACCACTACTGTTAGTCCCATTTGACAGATGAGAAGGCTGGGTGAAAGGTTAGATCAATGCCAGGAGTCACAGCTCAGGCGAGATGGAGCCCCGCAAGATGGAGCCAACCTGCATCCTCGTAACTGCCACCCCCTGTGCTTCCCTTTGTCTTCCTCGGTTTTCGTCTCCCTAGCACCATGCACAGAACCTGGCCCTGAATCAGGACTCAGTAAACGTCTGTGGAAGAGATGGATGGATGGAGGATGAAATGTTCTCCTCTCCCCCACCCCCCACCCAGCTCAGGCTTTCGGGAGCTGAGACACATTGCTGTCAGATGCAGCTAGCCTTTTTAAATTCA